TAACTCTTCTCAGAAAGTAGTGTTGTGGATTTTTAAAGTATCTCAGATGAGAAGCTGGAGTTCTACATTAGAGTTTATAGGAGGAACTATACATTGGTCACCAGGATTATCTTTACCAGACCTTATATTCTAAAGGTGCCTTTTCTGACTGGTTGACTTTTTTTTTTTTTTGGCATTCACAAGTCAGTCAATATAGCTTTGTCTTTTTTCTTCCTTGTCTCTAATTTCTTACATGATAGATGTGGTTGCTCTTGCCTGTCTTCTGTTGAGTAATCTTATCAGCAGAAGAATTCTGTGGTTACAGATAGGGTGGGAGTAATGTAAACACATGGACTTTTGAATCGGTAAGCAGAAAGCACTATGTTAAATAATCTTATTCTAATCTTGTTTTGTATCTACAGCTTTAGTTTATGAAGTGCACTGTAGAAACACAGTCAGTGAACAATAGAATATGCTGCTTTTGTAATTTTAGTATATGCTTTATTCTAATCGTGCTACCTAGAAGAAAACAATCTTTCATGGGGTTTTGAAAATAAGTATTTAGCCTGTATGTATTATAGGCTAAATGTATATATATTCACATAGTGAATACATAAACTCTACATACTTAATGTATTACTATATTTTTAAAACTTTCTTGGAAAATGGTATCTCGTTCTTTGTTTTTGTTTTTTTTTTTTTTTAAAGAGAGCTGAGTAGCATGTGATTAAGTTCAAACTAGCAGCAGTTCACTTCCATTCATGTTTTGACAAAAAGATCTGCAACATACTCTGTTTTACACTGGAAAGTAGACTGAAACTTGTCTCTTTAAAAATGGGCTTTATGAGTAGAGAAAGATAGGTAATTAGTTAAACTGACCTACTTTTTTGTCACCATGATTTCCAAGACTCTAGAACTTAATAAGTCTCTTCTGTCTCTAATTTATGAATAAAATTCCCATTTTCAAGTCCACTTTTCAGGTTTCAAGGAATTAGTCATTGAACCTGGCTAAGTGAAGGAGATGAAAAGAAAATATTCTTTGTACCTGCAGAAGTATTTCCCTCTTTCGTAACCTCATTTTCAAGGTTTGACATCAAAGTTTGACTAAGTTGAGGGTCATATGCTGACGGACTCACCTTCCTCAGCCCAGTGATTTTATATAATAGTCTTCCAGGTCTTATTTTTTTTCAGTGATCTTTTGAAAATAATTTTCCTAGAATTTAGGATATTGAAATTTCAAATGTAGATTGTCATGCACTTAAAAAAGAAAGAAAAAAAATCATATGTATTTCATATTTATAAAATTTGGTTTTAATAAAATCTTATTTTCTTTAATGTTGCTTTTGAAAATAAACCATAAATTCTTACCCACCCTAACTAATGACATTGGAAGAGGCACACCAGACCAGCTGTGGGGTATAGACTGAGAGGAGGTTTTCTGAGGTGGTAGTAGATACAAGGTATCTCATGTGACAACAGGTTACTAATCCTTGCTGCTAGTAACTTTATATCTGCTTAGACAAACGCTCCAGCTCTGTAACGGTACTCCCAACATTTAAGGTAGGAAGGCCTAAAAGCAAGGGGGGCCTTTGAAAATAATCTTGGGTGTGTTCGGACTTATTTTTGGATGCTTCTGCATGTGGTGGGTGAGTTTTACTTGAGCGTTTTCAAGAGTAAATTTCTGGCCATCAAAACCAAGTGATAGTGATGGTGCTTTGGGTTTATTATGAATGAAGATGCCTACCTCTCAAGTGAAATAGATGTTTAAACTGCTATTGAGGAATCCATTTCTTCTCATTAATGTCATCATCTCTTCTTGTTCTCATAGTTTTCTAATGGCTGATGATAAGAAAAATGTGTTGCCGAGAGTGTTCTATTTCAGTGTTCGTATGTGCTGTAATACTTGTGAGATAGGCACTAAACCTAACTGGTACAGGAAATAAGTAATTTTGGTGGTGGTTGTCAGCGAGAACTCATCTGGTGTCCAGGCTGCGGTTTTTCACATTCCTTCACCTGTTCTTGATGTCTCTCATCATGAAAGGCTGTCATCTTGTTTGAAATCTGGCACTGTTGGATAGATACTCTTTCATGACTCTGTCCTTTCAAGCTTTGGGTGTTCGCAGGAAGCAGTTATTAGTTTTCTTCTTCAATAAGTCTCTTATGTGGGACTCCATTGGATTTCCTCTTCGGAAATAAGTGGATTGGGAAGTTAACTATTCTGTAAGCTGGCAGCCTGATGTCTGCAAAAGTCTCATGACTGCTTTGGGGAAAGCCTAACTAACTGAGTTTGTAGAAAATGGCAGAAGGCTCTACTGGTGATTGCCACTGCCCAGTAGAAAACTAGCTGGATTCAGTTCAATCCCAAAGAGGCTGGATGGAATATATTTTGATCCATAGGACGGAGAAGGTGAATGTTAGCCGTGTGCCTTGTCATTGTTACTGAACTAGTTTTAACACTATCCCTTCTCAGTTTCCCTCTGGTAGCTGTTGTAAGGACCTAGGGTGTCCACTTTTGTGGGTTAAAGCTCTACTCCTGAGGAGGTACTGTGGTTAGAGCTCTGTGGGCACCATCCAGAAGCATTTTAGCAGGTTCATCAGAAGTTGACCTCCATAAGGATTTTTCTTTGGGAACCTATCAAGTAGAAAATGTTTCAAAGCAAACTTTTTCCAAAAGAAAGAGCATATAAGTCAAGAAAGAAGACTAAGTCAAGGAGTGAACATAGCATTTTCTTTCCTTTTCAAAGGATCTGTGATACTCCCCGTATGTGCTTTAGGAGAAACAGGTGATATTTTTGCAGCATGTTTTGAGCAGGTATGTAGCTGTAGATATATTTTCTAGGACTGTGGAGTCTTGGTTATTCTTGGAAGGTGTCTTGGCCCCGAGTACACTAATAGGCTTTAATGGCCCTCACAGAATCACAGAATCTTCAGAGTTGGAAGGGACCTCTAGAGATCATCCAGTCCAACTCCCCTGCTAAAGCAGGATTGCCTAGAGCACATTACTCAGGACTGCATCCAGGCGGGTCTTGAAAATATCTAGAGAAGGGGACTCCACAGCCTCCCTGGGCAGCCTGTGCCAGTGCTCTGTCACCCGAACTGTAAAGAAGTTTTTCCGTGTATTTGAATGGAACTTCCTATGTTCCAACTTGTGCCCTTTGCCCCTCGTCCTGTCACTAGGAACCACCGAGAAGAGTGGCTCCATCCTCCTTCAACCCACCCTTTAGATTCTTGTATGCCATAATAAGGTCTCCCCTCAGCCTTCTCTTCTCCAGGCTAAAGAGTCCCTGACCAACTTCACCTGGGGCCTCTCCCTGCCCAGGACCCAGGACCCCATGTCACCCCTCTCAAGCAATTGGCACCTGCCCCAGTGATGCCAGAACAGAGCCAGTCTCCAGCTCCCTACAACCCTGCCCTGTGCGGCCATAGGCCCCGCCGAGCTGCGCCCACCACGGGCCCATGTCCTGTCCCAGCCTCGGTCTGTCCCCAGGGAGGGTGCCCAGTGCTAGGGCTGCCATCAGTGCCTCCCACCTGCCCTGGGGTAGCTCCTGGCTGGGGTGGCGGGGTGGCTCTGGCTGGTGAGGCCCTGCCTGGCCACCCCTGAGGGGGACCTGGGCAGTGCGGGGCCCTGGCCAAAGGAGCACCACATCCTACCCAGCACAGAGCCACAGAGATGGCTTATCCTCTCCTCACTGACTGCTGGGGAGAATTGTGGGATTGATGACAGAAGATTGTCATGATTCAGCTCTTGCTGTACATGGCAGTTCCTCAATAAATAATGAAAGAAGTGGGATGGAAGTGATGAACGTCACATGTTGTTCATCAGTACTCTCTGTTTCAAGAAAAGCCATACTTACAGAAAACACAGAAGAGAAACTAGTAGGGCTTAATCTGTGCTGCAGAACAACTCATTGTATCTCAAGTGTTTCTGATCACTAGCTGCTTCTTATTCTAGGTTAGGAGTGTTTTTATTTCAAGCGTGAGCCAATCAATAGCTAAAGACTTATGTGCAAGCGAATACAGGAATACCAACACAATCTTTTGGTACAAGTGAGTCATCCCTTCACCTGTCACAGTTCAGGCTAACTGGGATGACCCAAAGCGTGAGCAGAGGCATGCGACTTCCTAGAGGAGCAGCCCCATTCCTGATGCTGAGGAGTTTGCAAGCAGAGAGAGTTGTTCTGCCACGCAGAGCTTCATCACCTTTTTAAATCTGAAAATGTAGTTGCATTTTGGTTGCCAACTCAGTACCATATTTGAATTGTGTTTGAGTCCATGAGTGTCAAAAGCAGGTCACCAAACCAACATATTTTAAAGACTAATAGGAATGAGTGGAACTGACTGCCTCAGTCTTTTCTATTCTAGCCTCCCAGTCCACCTGTGTGTGTCTCATACACGCTGGAATCCGTCAAAAATGAAATATGACAGATTCCTTTCTGTATGTGTGTAGATATGAATGATAGAGAAGGCAGATTCTTCTGAATGATTTTTTTAAATAACTGACATGTGCACTGAGGTAGTTGCTTGTATTTGAGTATTCAAGAATTTAAATATAGCATAGAATCGTTAACTAAGAAATATGCTTTTAGGGTGGGTTTGGGTTTTTTTCTTGTTTCTCAGTTTATAGTGGTCTAGACAAGATTTAAAAAGATATCCAGTGATCTTGAGAATGTCAAACTGCATGTAGGTTGGGTAGAGCTGTTAAAAATTAGGACAGGATTACTCTTTGTGGACCTAATACTACATTTTCTGCAACTAGATTTATTCTGATAATGTAATATAAAGTAGTCAAAAGCTCTGCTTTTTCATGCTGTCTTTCTCAATATATTTTGAAAGAAAAATAGTGCAGTGATTAAATTTATAGTACAAATACCTTTTTGATTATGCATGGAAATGAATAAAAGAAAGTCAGTGTTTGGAACAAGACATTCTGTATTGTTTGAGAGCATTCTGTGTTATGCTGGACATCATTATGATGTGAATATTACATTTATTATGTAATGGAATCTTGTCTTTTAGATTCAAGGAATATTAAAAAAGAGAAAGATGGAAAGAATCAGCAGGCAAACAACCCGTCTTTAAAAAGTGGTAGGTATTGCAGCTGTCAGGTTATTAGTTAAGGTACCCTAAAAGAAAAAGTGTGTTTGGATTGTACTATCTCCTGAGGCTTTTTTTTTTTTTTTTCCCAATCTCTTTGGCTATTACTGGTGGGTAGTTAAAAAGATACCATTACATTTGTCTAATTCTGTTAGGAAAGTATGTTTTGGTATAGAAAATGATGGTTGAAACTGCTTGACTTGAGCTTAATAGTTTTACTAGCCAAGACAAGTACTCTTTGTATATGTAATCAAAGATGCTGTGTAAACATTAATTTTTTTAGATCATTACTGATTTGTCTGTTCTTCTCATCATGGATTTCCCTGTTTCATGCCTTTTCTGCTGCAGTTATCTTCTCTTTCCTTAATGTGTTTACTAATGCCAAAGAAAGGATTTTCAGTTTAATAACCTGAGGTTTTTTGATTACTAACTGGATTAAATTGCCTGGGATTCTACTTTTATTTTAAAGAAATTCTGTTTTCAAGTAAACTGTGTTTTCATAATAAACTGAGGAAACTACACACTTGCTCAAAATGATCCAGCTTCTTATCAAACTTAGACAGCCTCTGCTATCCTCAACAGGTGCCATAGTGCAGCATATACATGGGATTGCTGGCAGTTTAGTTTTTGTTTTGGGCTGCATTGAGAGGGCAGCAGCATCCTTATATACCCTTTGTATGTTCATGTCAGTTGCTTGAATTTGGGGCAGTAAGAAATGTCATGAGTACTGTTGACCGAAGTAGAAAATGTCTTCAGTTGTTGTTAATTAATTCTTGATAAAATATCACCGGATTGCTTAAACTCTCACTGTACTTACATTCCATGCCTTCTGACTCCTAATAGATGGTCTGGTTCAGAGATTTTTGTGGGTACCAGTGGAGGAGTTCCTTAAGTAGTGTAGTCACTGAACAAACATGCTGAGATACTAACACAGTAGGTGGGTAGTTGAGGTGATGACTTTGCATAAAAGATACGATACCCTGTTACCACCAGCCATAGTAAAGCTTTCTGCTCTTATATTTGCCAGACTTAATTCTTCAATTTCTTGGGATCCTAGCAGTCATCTTTGTTTTCTTCCATGTTACTTTGAGACAGGAAAGGAAGTGTATTTGTGTCTTGTTTTCCCTCTTCTGCAGTGTAGGAGGAACTCCAGTCAAACTGGACTCAGATAGCATGTCGGTGGTTTAAAATAATGTTGTCTGACATGACAGACGGAGCCCCGTAAGATGCTCCCCCACCAGCAAAGTGTTTTTCATGTGTGGATAAGATAACCATATTTCATGAGTCACTGGAAATTGTCCCTGCCTCCTCCTTCAGTAGAGACCAAGGTGTTGAAAAAGCATTGTGGAGAAGCAGTGCTAAGCAGGCAAGCCTTATTCTGTCATCTGTGTTCTTTCACTCGGGACTACGCTGTTAGCCTAGTGTTTGAGCACTGAATTTACTCAAGAAATCTAGACTCAGCTGTGTCAGACACTTAGACAGGAGTGCCTTGTTGAAGATCATGCAAGATATCTGGTTTTCTATAGATGAGATTATAATTTTTATCCTGTGTTGTTGCTTGTTGGTGGCAAGGAAGAAGGAGCCTCTTGATGCTGGATGAAGAAGGATGCCTTACAATGCTATGGGCTAGCATCCAGGAAATCTCCAGTTTTCAGGGAGATGTGTGGTAGGAAAAGCTGAAGAGGAGGGCAGGTATAGAGATGTGAGACAAACAGGTGTAAAAATAGACTAAAGTAGGTAGAGAAAGACAGGAGGAGGAGAAAAATTCTAATTGAATGATTACAACATATAGAAGGAGGTACAAGGTATAAAGCAGGGTATGAAATACCTTATACTTAAACTACTACATTTGCAAGTGTGTAAATCATAATTAAAAGGAAACCTCATCTTTGACAATGAGAGATTGTGGGATGAAGACTAGAAAAGATAGATCCCTCTGTCAAAAGTCTCAGATGCACACCAAGGGAACTTAGGGATGAGAAGACATGAGGTGCTCTGTCTGCTTAAATGGTGTTTAGGCTATGTATTAAACTAACCTGAATAAACCAGGACCTTAAATTCTACCTATCTACAAGTGACACTTAACTCATAGTTTAAATCTTCAGATTGGTTTAAGTCAAAGTTTTACAAAATTTAAACTGAAGCATGATGTACAGTAGAGGATGACAGCGAGCACTTCAGCAAACTGGCTGTGCACATACTGATGGGAGCAGATGAGGTGCCTCCAAGGGTGCTGAGGTAGTTGACTGATGTCACTGTGAGGCTTCTCTCTCATTTTGGAGAGGTCATAGTGATTGGGGAAGTTTCATGATTACTGGAAAAGGGCCAAACAGTATGCCCAGTGTCAAGAAGGACAAGAAGGGAGCACTGGGGGAATTAAAGGCTGGCCTGCCTGACCTCAATTTTCAGGAAGACTGTGGAGAAAATCCTCCTAGAAGCCATGTGCAAGCAAATAAAGGACAAAGATGCAGTTAGAAGCAGCTGAGATGGATTGCCAAGTTTGAACCATATGTGACTGATTGCCTTTTGTGATGATGGATTCTGTAAACAAGGGGAGAGCAGTGGATGTTGTTCGTCTTGACTTTAGCAAGGCACTCTGTACGGCTTCTGTCGTGTCCTTTCAGCCAAACTGGTGAGATGTGGTTGGGATAGGTGGATGGAAAATTGACTGGACTGCCAGACACAGAGGTTTTTGATGAGCAGTACGAAGTCCACCTGGCAGCCGGTAGCTAGCGGCATTTCTCAGAGGTCAATACCAGGGCTGATGCTATTTTATGCCTTACTGACAGACGGGGACGGCTGGACAGAATGCACTGTCAGCCAGTTTGTGGGCAACAGCTCCCTGGGAGAAGTAGCCGGTAGGCTGGAAGGCAGGGCTGCTCTTCAGATGGACCTCCCCATGCTACAGAAATGGGCTGACAGGAACCCCATAAGATTCAAAGGCAAATGGGGGGTCAGCCTGGAGCCCTGCAGCATCCCAGGTGGGAAGCTGGCTGCCTGCAAAGCAGTTCTGCAGAAAGGCCCCGGAGTCCTGGCAGGCAGCGAGCTAAGCGTGGGCCAGCAGTGTGCTCTTGCGGCGAAAGATGTCAACTGCATACCGAGACGTATCAGGAAGACCAGAGGCAGCAGGCTGAGAGAAGGGATTTGCTGCTTTTGGGTATTTGTGAGACCGTATCTGGAGTACTCACTTCAGTTTTGAGCTACCCAGTACAAGACAGACAGTGCTATACTGGAGCAAGCCGGCTGGCAGTCCACCAAAGAAAATGAAGGAACCGGAGTGCAAGATGTAAGCAGAAAAGTGGTACTGAAACAAAAAAAAAATAATGGTTTCTTCAGCCAAAAGAAGAGAGCTTATGGGAGATAGTCTTGCTGTCTTCTATTACCTGACAAGCAGCTGTAGAGGGGACAGAGCAGGGCGCCTCTCAGAGGTGCAGTGGAAGGATGAGAAGCAACAAATACTGGCTGGAGCCTGAGAAACTCCTGCTTGGTGGAAGGAAAAAAATCTTCATATTGTGGGTGATGGATCGCTGGAGGAACAGGAGGCTGAACTGGAGACCTCCTGGGGTCCTTTTTAGCTTGAGTTACTTTGTGATTGGCGGGTTTGACAAGAAGTGATACAGCATTGCAGAAAACATCAAGGGTCGTTGACCCATGTGTCATTGCCAGTAATACAGGCAACTATGACACAAACTTATTTCCTCCATTTTTAAATTAGTCAGGCTGTTTGCTGATGATGATTGTCTTTGATCAAGGGTTTAGAGTCTCACGCGTGTATTGGTTACAAACGGATTATTTTTTTTACAGAAGGTCCTAGTTATTTCTGGTGTGGATTTTTTTTTTCCCTTTTTCCAGTGTATACCGTAAAAATTCCCTTCTCTTTCTAGTTTTCACTTTGCTGGCCGGTTATCAAGTTGCGCTTGTTGCATAATGGGTTTTCTTAAGCTTTTTAATTCAGGCTGCAGGTTTGAGTGGGAAGAGAAATGCATGTTAAATCATTTAGTGCAAGCTGATTTCTGTAAGAATTTCTATTTCTCAGAAGTTGCATGTTTTCAGGGGCTTTAGAATTAGAAATGTATATAAAACAACTGCTTCTTTACCTGTGCACACTGAGAATACAAAGAAGCTTTTTGTATAGAAATTTTTTTTCAATGTGATTATCTTCCTAGACATGCATCTTACATATTGCAAACATATATTAGTCTCCTAGTTCTATGACTGCAGTGATTAAATTATAATTAGCACCATCTCTGAGAGCTTGGCATTAATTTAATACAGCATATCTTCGTAAGTAGAGAGGTTCTAATTTAAACTTCAGGTCATTTCTGCCTGATGAAGGAGGTTTTGATAGCCAGGACTTAAAGCAAAGAGCCAGGCAATGTTCTTTTTCTTCTTGGCTTTATCTGCAGCTGGCTGCTTGTGTTATCTTATGTGTCTTACTGGTACATAGTCCCTGGAAAAAAAACCCTGTTTGTTTTCCCTCTGTATTTTTGGGTCATCCCACAAAATTTACAGTCCTCATAACAACTGGGATCATTTGAGGAATGCTGGTATATGGAGATAATTTTGTTGGAGGGGGTGAATGGGGATTTCTCCTGGTAAAAGGTGCTGTCTGTGAAGTATCTGCATTATATAGTCCTTAGCACAGAGATGCTCTGATTTACAATTACAGCTTTTACATCATGTTAGATCTGAGACAGCTGGGACATAGCTAACATTTTCATTTTCCTAGGTTTTTATTTTATTGAATTGGGTACTTTAAAGTTTACTAAGGTAAGCTCTGATTAAAAAACAAGATTTTTTTTTTTTTTATTTTATTTTTAAATCAGAGGTCAACCTGAAGTGGCAACTTTATTATTAGACTCAAAGAAGAATTTTTATAAGATGAAACTTTGCTAGCAGTTCATCATATTTATTTTTTGCATCCTCCTTGGCCTGTCAATGAAAAGAGCAATGGATCTGGATGCTACTTTCTGGAGAAAGCTCTGAAGAGCCATTTCCCGAGCATGCCTTCCTAAAATACAAATATCTAACATATGCTTAAGTTAATGCCTTTTGTGAGTAATAAAAAATCAATGTGATTGTATAAATGTGTGAATAAAATTTTCATTCCAAAATAGGCGGACTTCCAAGGTGTTGTATGGAAACGTCATCGTTACAGCCTACATACAGTCCAGACCACCAAATTAACAGCTTCTGGGATTTTACTGACTTGTTACATAGCTAACAACCACATGCCCTCTGCAGTGCCAAGGGCAAATCATTCATACCCTTTCAAGTCTTTTATGCCAAAAAAAGAGGATCTCAGCAGGCCAAGGGGGCGGTTCTCTTCTGCTTGCAGCACTGTATTTTCAACTAAATGCTGCACTGAAGCAGGCAGGCTGTGGGTTTGAGCCACCGTGCATCCTTCAGAGAAGCCCTGTGCAAGTGCCGGACGACGCTGCCATCTTCTGATTGTTTCTTTGCTTCTCCTCCCTCCTGAAAATTGCAGAAATGTGTTTAACTGTGCCCAGTGGCGTTTTTGGAAGGATTACTGGTAAACCTGGTGTGGTCTCTCCATCATCATTAGGGATTTTGCTATAGGCCACGTGAATGGCCACTGCTGAGCCGCTGGGTGGCATCACTGCATCGTTTTGGGGTTCATGAGTGATCTCGGGAACGTCAGAATGATGCCAGCTGTCCAAGCAAGAAAAATAAGCAAAAGAGCTCACTCTAGACAATTTAGGTACAAAAACATTAGCTGTGCCATTGTAGTTTTTCTCCTGTGCTTTGTATTAATTTAAGTAATGCTTGCTTACATCTTTGATGTTAGTACTTCATACTGTTCCATTCACGCAAAACTGATAACACTGATTAAATCAAATACAGAATACACTCATCCATGCGCATAAACAATGCCAATGTTAACACTGGAAAAAAATACCAAGATTCTGTTGCTGAACACTGCCATAATATTTATCCTACAAAGAGAAACCTTTATCAGACTTCAGATGAAAAGAGACAAAGATGCAGTTGGAAGGCTCTGCTAATCCTTTTGCTCTCTAGTGGACCAGGGATAGTATTTTCAACATACATTTCAACAGAATCTGTGTGTCTCTCTTCCAACTTATATCATTTTAGTACTCCTATGAGGTTATCATATCAGTCCTGCTGTTAGGGGAACTAAGATACAGAAAGGCTAATGTGATTTGTACAAGGACGCTTGGGAGGTCATTATGCAGTGAATTGAATCTAGATATCCTGACTTTTATCTTTGTATGTGGACCATGAAAAAAAAAAAAGCATTTGGGGGAGGTTTATATGGGTTTTGCCTATTGTGTGATTGCCCCTGTGAATTAATGGTACTCTTAAAGCTACTTCGGGGGTTGTATACTTTTCGAAGGTAGAGTTTCCATTTGAGAATAATCCCGTTCTTGGAAAAAAAAAAAAAGTATTCTACAAGATACTTAGGTTTTTCTGTCCTTTTCTTTCCCCAGCCCCCCTTTTAATTTGAATTCCCTTTAAAAACTGTCTGTATGGTCTTTTTTTGTTTTATGTCTTCCAGAACAGTTTAATTGGGATGATTATCTGAAAGAGACTGAATCAGTAGCTGCCCCTCTACATTGTTTCAGACAGGTATGCCAGATACTATTTTGCATGCGTGTGTGTATGTATGCATGTTACAGGGTGATTCTAGAGCAACTTTTATGTTTAGACTGATTGCAAACTTACCATTTGACTTCTTTTGATCTCCAGTTATCAGTAGCTTACAGTTTTGGCAGATGTTAGCTACTGAGATTTTTCATTCTTCGTTTCTGCCTCAAGCCAAACTTTGAGGGTTTCATTAAAATTATAGCTTTGGACTCTGTTTTCCTTTAAAAAGAGACTAGTTAATGAAAACAGATAGTCTTATCAAAGTTCAAAAATATTTTCTACTTTTTTCAGTGGTCTTAGAGGTATCGTGGCTTTAGTGGGAATTAAAATTTGGCTGATCGTCAGAGGAGCCTTTCTCCTGCCCAGTTTCTGAGAGGCCTTTCAATTCTGTCTAGCTATAAGATGTATGTGTGTGTGTAGTAGAGTTTATTCATCACTTCTTTTCTGGATCTCTCAAATATGTTGAATTTTGTGTTTTTCTGAGCAGGGTGATTTTTCATAAGAAGTAACAGGTATTCAATTTAAAAAACAAACAAACAAACAAACCAAAAAACAAATCAAGAGGAATATATAGGAATACAAAGGGAATATTGGATTTATAACGAAGGGTGTTCAGTGTACTATTTTATGTTTCACATTGTGCCCTACAAGTTTGATTTCCCCCCTGCCTGATTGTTTGGTATGTATTTGCAGATGCAATTTAAATATACTCTCTTATATGAGTTAATAACCTCCATTTATTCAGCCCTCTGGAGACTGAGCCGACCTCTGCAGGCATCTTTCTCTCCATAGAGGGAGCTGGGGGCTGGGATTTTCCCAGGATGAGGAGTATCTTAGCTGTATAAAGTTACATAGGATGAGTTTTGGTCTGTACGCCTTCAGTGCGTTAGGAAGATAGATGCTGAAGGAATTGGGTAGTTCAGGTTGATAGAACTATTATAAGTGGGCTGCATCAATTATTATAAGCTATTAAAAGCTGGGCTGCGTCAGAAGAAGTGTGGCCAGTAGGTCAAGGGAGGTGATTCTGCCCCTCTACTCCACTCTCGTGAGACCCCACCTGGGGTACTATGTCCAGCTCTGGAGTCCTCAACATAAGAAAGACATGGACCTGCTGGAGCGTGTCCAGAGGAGAGCCACGAGGATGATCCGAGGGCTGGAGCACCTCTCCTATGAGGAGAGGCTGAGAGAGTTGGGGCTGTTCAGCCTGGAGAAAAGAAGGCTCCAGAGAGATCTTATTGTGGCCTTCCAGTACCTAAAGGGGGCCTCCAGGAGAGCTGGGGAAGGACTTTTTACTAGGGCGTGTAGTGAGAGGACAAAGGGGAATGGCTATAAACTGGAAGAGGGCAGGTTTAGATTAAACATTAGGAACAAATTTTTCACTTTGAGGGTTGTAAGGAACTGGAACAGGTTGCCCAGAGAGGTTGTTGAGGCCCCATCCCTGGAGGTGTTCAAGGCCAGGCTGGATGTGGCCTTGGGCAACCTGGTCTAGTGGGAGGTGTCCCTGCCCATGGCAGGGGGGTTGGAACTCAATGATCTTCAAGGTCCTTTCCAACCTAAACCATTCTATGATTCTATGAAGTGTGACAAGCGGTGCATGTCTAGCGGATTGAACATGTTCAGAAATGTATTTTCTGATAGTAGTAGTAGTCTGATGGTACTGTAAATGATACTGGCCTCCGGTGGGGACCAAACAAAAAGCAACATGAACAGAATAGTCTGAGGAGGAGAGGAAGAGTCACTCAGTGGATCTGAAGTGGTAGCCGGGATTGAGAATAGGGGGAGAGGAATGCAGGTGGTAGCATTTCTTTATACTAGATCTTGAATCTCAGCTTGCTCTTCAGAGATGAGGATAAAGGACTGTCCTGGTTCCGGCAGGGATGGGTTTAATTTCCCCCGGGAGCTGGCAGGGGGCAGGAATAAGAGGCGGTAGCTTGGCAAGGAGAGCAGCCACCACTTGGGCGTGGGCTGTGGCAGTGTGTCTGGTCAGTGGGCTTCACAGCGGTATTGTAATCACGGCTTCATAGCCCTTTATCAGTGTTATTGTTTTATTTTCATCTTCCCTTTTGCTGTTCTGTTAAACTGCACTATTTTAACCCACAAGTTTTGCCCTGTCGATTTTTTTTTTTTCCACGGCTGTGGGAGTGGAGTGAGCGGCTGCATGGTTATTTGTTGCTGGCTGAGGCCAAACCATGACAAGGATAAAGAGCCCCTCGCATGCTGCTTTCAATGAGAGATGGCTAAGAATAGCAGTGTCCATACCTCTGTCTGGGTAGAACTTCAGAAATTAGTTCCACAGTATGTCTTTTTCATAGTAGATACTAGCTCAAGGAGGAGACCCCAAATTCTGCTTGGATAGAGGCAGAGGGCAGTAGCGTATCCCTTGGTTCTGAGGTTAATGCCATACTCGTAGACCATAGAGCACCATGACCGGAGTACATGCTCCCAAAAGATGTAGCTACTGGACAAAGCTGCTCAGAAGCCTTTCCTTGTGCCTTTCTCACATCTTACTCTTCCCTCCTAATGCTCAAGAGGTCCAAACTGAACAACCAAGTAACACCTTAAATAAAGGCACTTAAGTGATACTCATTGACTGAGATAGATAAAATCCAGGTGACTTGGATTGCTTAAGGAGCGTGTGGGTTGAAAGAAGAGCTTTAATTTCTGTCCATAGCAAATTTCAGAACAATTTACATATGCAGACTTTCAGTTTTTCTAGGAGTTGACCTTTAAGTAGAAGGTGATGTGAAATGTTAATTAGTGCAGAGCTAGCTCCTTTCACTACATAATGTTTGCAGATTTTAGAAACTAAAGTACTTGAGGTTTGTGTAGGACTAATTTGACTTTTATTGGGTTACACATGAATTATATGTGTCATTATGACTCTGTGTAATGCAAAGTAATACACTGCTGTGGCCACCCGGAAAACAAATAGCAGGGAGAAGCATAATATGAAAATTATATCCAGAATTTGTGACCTGTGGGAATTCTACCAAGTTTAAATTTTGCAGTAATTAAAAATGACCTGGGGAGCAATATATTAAAGCCTCTACCATAAATTAAGATACAGGCACAGACAGCTAATGGAAATTGATTAAAGTATTTATTTTAATTTAGAAGGTATTTTATCTGTTGCTCTGAGTTGTTTTTAATTACTACTAAAAATTTTGATGTGTTTGGCATCCCTTTCTCTCACCCTGAAACATTTTTTCAAGCAGTTTAAAATTTTAAATAAAAAAGCTCAGTCCATTGTGGTTTGAAGAGAGCTTAGAAGGCGGCTGTTACTGAGCAGGTTTTGTTATTTTGCTGTAAGGATGGACTGGCATGGAGAAGTTACCTTTTTAGTAGAATGCCTTGAGTTGTTGGTATTTAAACAAGCTCACCTTTTCTACTAACAAATAAACAAACTCCTCAATTTCAGTTACTTTCCATGGTTGTAGAAAATAACAGCTTGACAAGCAGTATCTTGAAATTGAATTGCCCTTTAAATTTAATATGCTCAGGCTCCCCTTTCAGACAGCCTGCTGTCTAAATGCAGCATTGGCAGATGCTGCACTCAGCGTTCACTGAATATTGGTCGCCTCTTTGTTTTTTGGGCTTAGGCTCCTCCAAGGCTCCTGCTCTTGATCTAGGGTGTGTTGCAAATAGGGCACCAGCACACCATAGCACGTAGAGCAAGGCATATATTAAAAAATTAAATATTGTGGAGACAAAATATCCCTAGCACTTGTTGCAGTAGCAGATTTCTTCAGCCTTTCCCTGTGTACCCAGACAGATAAGCGCACCCTTATCTGCTTTCTATGGGATCCCCACCTGACCTGGTCAAGCAGGAGGGAGAAGGGACATAGGAATCTTGTGAGCATGAATGATGGCTTGGGCTTTTTTTTCTACATGCCTCCCATATTAGGATTCAGATTGTTTTAGTCCGTATAGGATAGCTGCTGGGTTTAAATGTCATGGGGAGGGCTGCTTACAGTTCTCGTCTGTGTTCAAGAGCAGCTTTGTACAGGAAGAGTTGCAGAAAAGGGCTTTCAGGGTGATAAGAAAATAGTCATCCTCTCCTAAAAGAAACTTCAGTGCTTGGCTTATTTAACTGGTTGAAAGAATACTGAGAAAGGGTCAGGTAAATACACCGTAAATACAGTAAATACTCTGTAAGTACACTGTAGATTTTGTTATTATTTGCAGAGGTACAAAAAGAATTTACGTTAAACAATAGTGTTGGCAAAAATGTCCATGAATAAATTTAGGCTGGAAATGTGGAGACATCTAAAGAGAATAGTGAGTTTCTGGAGTAATCTTTCTGAACAACTAGGTGAGGCATTCAGTCCCAGTTGGTGTTAATACAAAGTTACTATGTGTCATTAGATGATGTTATTACCTGCAGTGCTACAGAAGGCAAGTAATCAGACTGTGATCCAGTTAATCTCTGCCAATAGTGTGTTGATACATCAGTAAAAATTAGTCTTCTTCTCTCCTGTTCATTTTCAGCTTGTGACAAAAAATTCCGCTCAAAGACCCAAGTTGCTTTTGTCGTGTTTCTTTTCCCTGTGCCAGTCTCTTTCAAAAAATCTAATGTCTGCTAATTAAGTTGGCTTTTCATTGTATGTGTATGAATGTATTCAGTTGTCTATGAATAAGCACAAGCTGCAATATTTGTCTTATCACAGAAGCTTTATGTGATTTTAGGACTGTCTTTTTTTCTTTCTGCAAAATGCAGTTAACGCTAACTCCTTTTTCTCTTTTCTTTCTTTATGTTGTAAGCTGTTTTTTAATGTAGAAACTCTTGCCTTGAAGTTTTGTAGTGCCTTGTCCAGTAGCATCCAAATTTTTGTTTAAATTTCTCAGATACTGCTATAATGAGAGTAACTATTTCTTTTCAGTTGAAAGCTAATAAATCTTGTGGGTGTTGGTTTTTGGTTTGGATTGTTTGTTGTTGTGGTTTTTTTCCCCGTGGGTTGGTTTGGTTTTTGTGTTTCTTGTTTTTTGGGGTTTTTTTGTTTGTTTTTTTGAGTTGAATGTCATATTTCCTGATGCCCTTGTTTTGCCTTCACTTCAAGTATTAATCACTGCTCCCTCGTCTTTATTGTCATATCTTCATCAGGATTCCCTTGTTACACTTATTAATAGTGCTTATCTTTTTAGAAATCAGTCATGTTTACGCAGTGAGAACATCAAGTATCTGAAATAGTAGCTGTTCCTAGGTTATCCAGCTGCCTGTTCTGACTTGCTGCTAGACACTCAAAGTTCAAAGGCTTCTTTATATTTATCATTTGTATGATATGTTTGGATGAATGAAAGCTGTATATTGAACTGGCTGGTAAATTTAACAATGCTAACAACAATAAGAAAAAGTCTTTTTTACCTTTTACTGTAGTCTAGAATTCCACCTACGAATGATTTCAAAGTTGGTATGAAACTGGAAGCCCATGATCCGCGCAATGTTACCTCGGTTTGTATAGCTACAGTAATTGGAATCACTGGTGCCAGGCTAAGGTTGCGGCTGGATGGAAGTGACAACAAAAATGATTTTTGGAGACTTGTGGATTCTTCAGACATACAGCCAATTGGGACCTGTGAAAAGAAAGGGGGCATGCTCCAGCCTCCGCTTGGTAAGAAACAAAGCTTCTGAACTAATGTGTGTGGAGTATTGCTTTCATTAAGTCGATTTTACCTTTTTGTCTTGGCAAATTCAATGGTACTAACATTTCACCAAACCATTATTCAATTGAAAAAAGAGGTAACCAAGCTGATTCAGGGTAAGTTGTGGCTTTTTTTTTCCTTTTGGATTCTTTTGACGTGAGAATTAACAGAATAATTAATTTGAGCTCTTTTATTTTTTTAATAGTCCCTTAGTATTACATGGGAGTGTCTGACAGCTTTCTTAATGATGAGATAAACTGTCATGTGTCCATTCTGAAAATGTTCGCTGGTGCACACCCTGTCTTATGAGTGTGTATGGATGCAACATCTTGCTTGGTGCTGCGTATGCTGCTTTTAGTGGACTTTCATAAGAACTGGGGAAAGCTGACTTGCCTTTTTCCTTTTCAGTAAATCAGAGAAGCCCACTAGAAGGCGCTCGCTGTTAACCGACCTGTGCAATGCTTCGCTGGGTTGCAGGAAGGGCAGCAGCTCAGGAGAGTACGGATGTTTTCTAGGGCACTGACAAAATCGGTTGTGGTCTGGGAGAGGCAGCATAGGGGCTTAACGACGATATTACAGCAGAGGCAGGAGAAATAGCACTCCAGAGCTTTAGCAAACTGCAATATATTGCATGTGATTATCATAACATGTTGAGGGACGTCTGATCAGTTTGTCATTACTAGTTTGTGAGCATGATGAATACTTGTAAACAAGGTGTAGCTTTCCTATGCTTAGAAATAGTCTGCAGAATTTCTTTTGCCTTCCATGAGCAATGTGGGTGACAACATGTGTTTTCCCCAAACTGAGAAGTAGTGCTTGGGCTTAGTATTATTGAGGAAGTATATTAAATGGGGAACTGTACAAAGGAATTCCTTTCTATATGATGAATAGTCAGAGGTAACTTTGACTAACTACTGAGGGTAATAAAGTGTGATAATACCTTTCTTTGCTGTGATTAACCTGTATATTTGGGTCTGCATTCTTGTACCATATTTGTTACAGCTTAAACATCTAGGTGTGGAAATCTTTAAAGAAATGCATTTTCCAGATTGGTCTGAAAATAGTTCTGCTTTTAAAAACGAGGAAGAATAATGACCAAAATTTATCTTAACACCCCCCCCACACACACAGGCCGCTCACAACATAACACTCTCTCTCCTGTTAACCTGTTGTCTTCTGTAATTTTTAGAAGATGCAAGAAATAACATTCTTAATATAAGAAATGAACTGTAAGCAGAAATTGGTTACTGCTGGTTTCCCAACTTACTATAAACCTACTTCTGGTTTGGTGTCACCAGTAACTCTTACAGATTTCTCATCAGAGCTTTAGTGAAGATAGGTACGCTTTCTCTTAGTAGACTCTCAAAAAACTTGTCATCCCAACTTATTAACAACTTTCCGTTCTTCTGTTGAAAGATGAAGTGAAAAGTATCATTTCACTACAGTATGAAACTTGATTTGCTTCTGAAGGGGCAAACAGACACAGGAGCAGTTCACGTAACTATTAAGACACTTCACATAGATTATACGGGTAGATTTCTGTGCTGTTGTGCTGCTTTAGAAACACAAGAAAAGCAATACAACCAGGGTGCAATCGTAGAATAATATTATTTGGGATGGATAGATACAGTTTGAGCCCAGAAGGGCATTTTTCTTTCTTTCCAATGGATCTATAGAGGTTTTGAATGAAAACACTGGAAATTCTTGACACCTGGGGGAAAAGATTCTAAATGTATTTTTGCTTTGAGAAGTTACTCAGTTTAACCTCTCTGAAGTTCTAGGTACAGCCTTGTAGAATGAATGCAGCGATACCAATATGAAAGAGGGTTGTAATAGAGAAGAGTATACCTATTCCTTCAGATACACGTATGTACGCTGTTAAAGGCATGGCTTCAGTTCAGGAGCATAGTGCTTTTCTAAACATGTTTCTAAACCAGTCTGATGAATAAAACAACTCTGATGATGCATAATGGGGGCAGTCGATCCGCTAAGAAGAGAAACTTTCCATGTTCGTCAGTAGAAAGGTTGATGGCTTCTCTTCGGATACTGTTTCTTACTCCTTTTTGGCCAGGCTGCTTGTAGTGCAGCACCTAACAAGCAGCTGTTTCCCTGCACCCAGACATGTAAGTTTACCTGCTCTCTGAACAATTGCTGGTTATTCAGAAAAGAATGTGACTGCCATTATTTTGTCCCTCCCGCCCTAGATTTTTCTAGAGATAGGCTAAAATCCAACACTCAAACATTCTGGCGTACCTAGATAAATTTTTGAAAAAGCTTTTTTGGCAGTTTTACAGCATCCTGTTCCTGGGCAAAGCTGGGAGCTAATTGGGTGTATAATTACCTCCTGTTAGACATTTAAGCAACTGATTATTTTTTTTTCCTGAGTAGTAGGGAACCTTCTGGATACTAATGTCTGCTTCTTTCATAATAACAAGCTAAAATAGTCCCTCCTACCTGATTTTTGCATAGGTTTAATTATGCATGTTACATAAGGGTTTTGAGAAAGCGATTAATGTAGCAAAGGGTTCCTATTCCAGCCTCTGTTCTTCATAGGTGAGCTTTTTTGTTGTTGAGGGCTTAGTGTTCCCAACAAATTGTGTTGGGGATAACATTTTCTCTGGGTATACCAGGATGACTTAAAAGCCAAATGAAGTTAATTGAAACTGTTAGTTGTCATTCCTCTGTCTTGCATATATGTCTTTTCTGGGCTGGCTGGTTAGGAATACCGTGTTCCAGTAACCACACATGTTTAGGTTGTGTAAAGACTCTGGTATCAAACCAGGACTGGTAATTGGCTCAGCAGTCCACAAATTATGTCACTGTTTCTCAGATGTAAGCTTTGTTTTTATATGGTTTTGCATAGGTAGGTCCAACTTGAAAACTGTTTATTCAACTGAAGATAGCTTAAAGCTCCAAGTTGAAGAACCATTATTCCATATAATCCAATTTTAGATGACTTAATCATTTAACTGATTAAGAATTGCAAATGTGTTACATCTTTGTAGTTACATTTTGTTAAGAGAATCGTCAAGGCTCAGTTATGAGGAAACTCATGAGTTCCTGGCAGATTCTGGTACTATTTGCTTTGTGGAAAACTTTCCAATTTGCTCTATTATGTCTGGTTTTCTGTAGAACTGTGCCAGACATATAGCTGCTAAAGATGCAGAGAAAAATGTCGACTGTGTCTGTTATCTTACTCATTACTTTGAAACATCCATTTGGAAAGCACAGAAAGCAAAAGGGATTTTTGTTTTGTTTTGTTTTGTTTTGTTTTTTAACTGGAAAGTAATTGATTCTGAGGGAAGATTATCTGGAATGAGAATGTTTCCAGCCAGACCTTTGTTCTGCTTGAATAAAGTAGTTCATCTAAGCAAATTTGATTATTGTTTGTGCTTTTTATTCACTTGTTAATGAAGAATGTTAAAGTGGAAATGTCTTCCAGTTTATGTTTTCCAATATGATACATGCATTTATTAAAATAATTGTATTTTTGTTCTTCCCTGTTATGTGTTGGTTGGTTTTTAAGGCTATTTTCATTAGTTAATTATTTTAATAGGGAAGGGAGAAGAAACTGATTGTTCTTTTTTTTGGCTGTGGTCTGGTGGAAGAATTACAAGAGTTGAAAATAAAAAGGTATCTCCTCAATAAATGAGAGAAGCTGCAGCAGAGGGTGTTGTTTTAGAATGAGAGCAAAAAGCAGCCCTGAAAAGTAAGTTAGGAGGTTGTGCTGGCGAAGTTCCACTAGACCAGGGACCATGTGGGACAGCTGGACGATCTGTACTAGAACGTCATTAAAGTCCTAGACATTTATCTGTAAAGTCACGAATTATGATGAGTCATTCTGCAGGCAAGTCACTCAGAATGGAAAGGCACTGCACAGCTTTCTGCACCAACAGTGACCCTGTCTCTTCCTTCTTGGCTACTTTTCTTGTGGCCAATTCCAAAATTGAGGGAATGAGGCATTAGTAAAGCAGACTTTATATCCCTCTCCTCATGTTTTATTTTATGACCTGAAAGGGCTGTTATATACAACTAATTTATTTGTTACTCAGGGTTCCAGATGAATGCGTCTTCTTGGCCAATGTTTCTCTTAAGAACTCTCAATGGAGCTGAAATGGCACCTGCAGCGTTCTTTAAGAAGGTAAGAAGAAAGGGACTGCTAGTAAACAACTTTCTATTGATTGGTCCATGGTTACATTTTTTAATGAGGATGCCAAGATATTACCCCATTGTCTGCAGCGGGGGAAGGCAAGACTATTATTTAAAATTACTTTGAACTCAATTGGCAAGCTACAAAGCTAGACAAGAAGCGATCTGCTTGTAGTCCATTGGATGGGCATCTCTTTTCCTGAGCTGAGACTTGAAAGTACAGTGTGTTATTTAGAAAAATTGTGTTAGGTCATTTTTTTTGTGTCTCGTGGATTTAAGATACGATGCATCAATAGCGCCATATTCATGTGATTGTGCACAGGAGTAAAAAAATTTTAGTGGAGAATAAGAGCCATTGGAATACAGTGGTGCTTGGAAATGTTTTGTTAAATGTATTTGTTGGGCTCATACTTGTAATTTAAAATGTAGTGAGAAAGTAGTTGAAAATAGCAGAAAAAGCCGTTCAGTTTTTTAAATATGACTCCTGAGTAAGTTACTGTGAAACATGAAAAATTATATAAAAACAACAGTAATATTAAAATGACTCCTTGGTTCAATTTTTTTGTCGAGGTGGTAAAACCCTGCTGTCACATTGAATGACTTCATTTTTGATACTGAGAGTGATATTTACAAGTATGTCAGCAAATCAAACAGTTGGGTTCAGCCCCGCAATCACATTGCTTGCGTGTTAACTTTATATAATTATATACATTTTTTAGATAAAATTATATAAAAATTATATAAATTTCCTGAGCCACGCTTCTGTGTGCTAGCCTACCAGCATGTCTGAGATGGCTTTTGGATAATGAGGTTCCTGAGGCTGAGGTGATAATTCAGGTTACATCGGATCACAACTCCACTTACGCTGGTCCCATTGACTTGATTTTTGTTTTTCTTTGTCCACTTGTATTGGACTAAGGCCAGCTGAGTTAATGGAGGCCTATAAATAATGTCCAATGCTAATGAATTTTTCATGGATTATTTGAGAGGTGAAGCTTTTACTAGACAGTTATCAGTCCCCAGAAATATCCATTCCCTGCAAACCTCCTCTTCTTTATTAGCATGTAATAATTTCATTTTAGTGTCTTCACTCACTTCCTGCCCAGACGTAATGTATTGGGTGCAACCTATTGCTTACGTAAATACTTTCAGTAGGGTCTTTCTGTCATGGAGAATTTTGCTAGCTAATTATCCCAGCTGTGTTTGTGGGAACAGAATCTAGATTTTTGTAATGCAGGAGAGCAAAAGCAAATTTGAAATACGAGTAAGCTTCCTTGAATGTCTACTATAACTTTTTGAGAGTAGTGAGTATAAAAAGTAAGAATGTTGAAGAAAAATAGAGGTTTTTCTCTTTTTTATTAAGAGGCCATAGAAAGGCAAATCTTATACCATTCTTACTTTTGTAGGAACCACCAAAACCTGTGCCAAACTGCTTTAAAGTTGGAATGAAGCTTGAAGCTATAGATAGAAAGAACCCGTACTTGATTTGCCCGGCAACCATTGGAGATGTTAAAGGAGACGAAGTTTTTGTTACATTTGATGGCTGGAGAGGAGCATTTGACTATTGGTGCAGATGTGATTCTCGAGATATTTTCCCAGTCGGATGGTGTAGCTTGACAGGAGATGCATTACAACCACCAGGGAACAATGGTAAGATGACTAATAATATTGCTTAATTATTTTTCCCCTCAATTACAGCAGAATTTTAAAAACCAGCTGGCTGTATGCAGATAAGACTGAAGATTTGATTTGTGAGTAGCTGATGAGGATGAAATGTTAAATTTTCTTTATGTAGTGTAAAGCTAATGGGGTAGTTTCTGGGAAACAATTTTTGTCTGTTCATAGTAACTCTGGGAACATGTTTTATTTAATACTGTTAGGAGGGCTTTTGATAATCTTTAATTTTTGTGTGCTTGTGAAGAATCTTGGACTTAAACTAGATTTGCTGTTTGTATTACAGATAGTTAAATGCTTGTGTTAAATGATACTGATATATTTGCGGCAGCAGCACTTTATATTAAGCTAACTGCTAAGAAAGTAAAGCAGTCTTTGCTTCTGTGATGACTGAAGGTTTAAACTATATATTTAGTGTTTCTTCCTTCATACTCACAAAATTCTGTCTTCAAGCTGCCTATTCTGGATGCTTTATCGTATTTCTTCCTTCATACTCACAAAATTCTGCCTATTCTGGATGCTTTATCGTCCTCATACCTTTAAGGATGTTTGCACATAGGGTTCTAGAGTCCCTTTAGCTAATAGCCGCTGTGCTTTATAGATAGAAAGAAAGGAAATGGGATAAAGCAGGATAACCTTGAATGTGATTTCTCTGCTACTCTGGGGACCTCTTGTCATGTTTCTGTAGTGTAAGGCTTTTCTGTCAAACTCTTTGGGCTCTTCTATCCTCACTCCCTTCAAATTTGACAGAAAGAGATGTTTTTAAACAGGGGAACCATATTTTAATTAACTACTTTAATATTGTTGACCAGAATATTTTGTTCTGATGGTGAGCATTTTCATAGCTTGTTTTAGATGAGTAAGGAATGAGTGTACTGGTGTCACAGAACTCTCACTGGAACTACAAAGGAAGAGAAGGCAAGAAATCAGTCATGTTTCCTGCCCTCTCCATCCCCATTGCTTTTCTCAGTCTTTTGCCAGCAGGTCAAGAATGATATGGAAAAATCTGTGTGAAATTAATTAAGGGTACCTCTTCATCCTTGCCCTCATCTGCCTGTCTGCAGTTACTGTCTGCAGTTACTGCCAATGGTCATCCATACATACATACCTACCTCCCTGTAATGTAGTTTAGTCTGTTTTGGTGGATTTCAGCATGGGAGCAACAACGTGCGTAGCTGTACTGACAGATCCAGGATGATCTGCCAGTACAAACCTGCAGTGAGAAGGCAGGGGGACGTCAGGTGAGGACAATCTGTATTTGATCAGAAGTCATCTAATAGGTACCAAGCTGACTGCAGCCTTAATGTTTCTGTGCTCCCAATCTGTAAAGCGTCTTTCTCAGCTTCTTCAGAAGGACGACCTTGTCTTGAGAAATCATGAATGAAATATGCTATTATGGTAAGTTAATTACATTAATTGTGGTGAAATAAAATGGCTTTATACAAAAGGGGCTGTGTAAATAGTGATGTAAAATTTTTAGAAGATATTTTTGTGACAGTTTAGATTGCGGAGTCCAATTGCATCTTTTGGAAAGAAGCGTTACGAAATTGTTTAGGCTACTCGAGTTTCAGCACTGAAAAAACAGCAATATTTTGAGATAATATGTACAGAATTTTTCTTTCCTGATTAGTGCTTGATAATGATCAAAGAATTGTTAACAATTAGCTAATAAAGTTGATGATGTATTCCAGTTGTTCAGGTAATAAAAGAAATAAAATTCTTGAGTGTGTTGAAATTTGCTGAAGACTTGAAATACCTACCCAGGCATTTTTATGGATTCTATTGCTTTGTTATGAAAAACAATAACACTTTAGACATTAATAAAACCTGAGGCAAGGTTCTTACAGTCTTGTAGTCAAAACTGAGAATTTTGGGCATGCTAGAAACTGGGGGCAGGGAGGTGCAGGCTGGGGATTTCGTTATTTTTAATTCTAAAAGTGAGTCCAAAGTTAACTGCAGTTTCACTGAAGTTGTGTGTGCTCCTTTTTTTCCCCCGTTCTGAGCATAAAGAATTTGTTCTTTCAGTTTTGCTTCATGTGCTTATTTTTTATGTGCTGTTTGTGCATGTTATATGCACTTGTCAAATTTACATAGCTAGGTGAAATATTTTTTGCTCCAAGGTTATGTTTTTCACTGTTATTTGATCGCTTTTGAGCCATTAAAGAACTGTAATGATAGTCCTTTAATAAGATGTAAATAATAGCTTCAAGGAGAGTATAATCAAGTCATTTCACTTCAGAAATATGATAATGTTGTCAGGATTCTTCATTAAGTCACATTAACATTGACTGCTCCTGTTAAGGAAGAAAGTATGACAGCTACTGTATTGTAGGGATTCACTTGAAATGTTATAATATTATCCTGGCCTGGACCTTTTTCTTGCAGGTTAGTTTAGTATTTCTGCCTTGAATTACCGTGATAGAAAGTGAAAATAATGAACTGATTGTGGCTGAGATTTCAGAGTGACTATAATGTGAAGTATTTTTGATTTTTGTAACTACTTTTTCTGAGAGCATTTAAATGTGTTAAATCACTAGTTAAAGGACTGAACACCACCAACCCCCCCGATTTTAGTGAACAAGCAAAACCAATATCCTGCGATCTAAGTATGAAAGCGATAAAGGATGCTTTAAATTGCATCCATACCTAGGACAACAATTTCCTCAATTTCTTGCCATGAGACTTATATTTTTAGGGTCTAATTTAGCCCTTCAAAAGAGATGAAATGCAGTAGGAGAGACAATATGACAATTAGGGAAGATTTTTTTTTCGGCTGTTTACTGTCTTAGCCACTTAGGGTGCCCAGAGAGAATGTAGGACCTCTGTCATGGGAGGTTTTTAAGAACAGTTTAAACAGAGGCTTCTTAGTATGGTTAAATTTATTCAGAACAGATTATGTGGTATATTTCGTCTTTATAGCTTTATCTTCTGTAACTCGCATTGATTTTAGAAAGATAAGCTTGGGAACTAAGACACAATTAATAGAAGATAAAATGGAGATGGTAGGTGAAAAGTTGTTTTGGACCAACTATCTTTAACATTCAGGCCTTAATCTCATGCTGATGTTTTGTCTTTGGTCTTTATGAGAAGATGTGACTTAGGTGGACCTGGCTGGCTGTCAGGGTGTGCGTACAGTGGTATGAAATGTAGTGTTCAATATTTATACTAGCAGAAGCTGTGCTTAGCTAATATTGTAGTTTCTTTCTTTAGAAATATCTCTGATAGTAGTAACTTATGTTATGTATGATTTGATAACAGTGCTTAATATTGGCTTGGCCTGCTGGTCCAAGGTTAATATTTTAAGGGTGCAGTATGTTGTTTTCTCTCTGTCTCTGGGTCACTCGAGTGCTTTTAGAGATGACTTGTCACTCAGGAACATGGGTGTGAAAGAAGTTGGGTGAAAGAAGTTGGCAAGATAGTGTGTCCATGATAGATCAGTCTGAAGGACCATCTACTCTAGCAGACTTTCTCCAGCAGTGGCTGAAAGCAGACATCTGAGGAAAAGCATAAGCACCTAGGAGAGAGGTTTGCAGAAGTATTCCTACTATCTGGCTGTCTACAACCCAGCGCCTTCCAAGACCAGAGTAGTGATTTTATACTGAGTACCTCCTGGAGGACCTTGATCTATTTTGGTCAGTTATGTTTTGGTGCCATCTGAACTTTCAGCACATACAACATCCTGTAGTAAGACTTCTGTACTTGTGTATATGTTCTGTGGAAAAGAAGATACTTTTTTTTTTTTTTTTCATTTGTTGTCCTCATCTGCTTTTACTGAAATAGCTTTTTGTACTTCCAGTACTGGTACAGGAAGACACAGTAAATAGTCGTTCCCTAATTGCCTTCTTCATATCCATCACAATTTTGTAGATGTGTATTGTATCTTCCCTCAGCTCTCTATATTCCAAACTTGTCAAATCTTGTTCTGTTTCATTTTTCCTTGTTACGGGGTCAGTTTAATTTGTCTGATCACCCTTGTTCATCCATACTGTTTCCATATCAGCTATATAATTTTTGAGCCACTGGAACCAGAAGTGCACAAGGCATTTAAGACTTGGTGGCATTGTGGTCGTCTCTGGGTGGTTTTTTTTTTTCTGTTCCTCCTGTAATTATTCATGAATTGGTATTTGAGATTTTTGGACTACTACCGAGCAATGAACTAATACTGTCATAGAAATACTTACTTTAATTCTAAGATGTCATTTTTGTATATGTCAGCTAATAGCCCATCATTGATCACAGAAGCTGGATTATTTTGAATTGATTGACAATGAATTTCATCTGTTACTTCCTCTGCTGAGCAACTGCTTAGCTTTACAAAGTCTTTTTGTACATCTTTACTGACTCAAATAATTGTTCAGCAGTTGTTGCCATCTCGTGCTTTACTCTTTTTCTTGATCGTATACGAATCAAATGGCACAAGCCCAAGCAGAGATCTCATCAGGATTTCTGTAGAGTCCTCTCTAACTGTTGAAAAATGTCTGTTTATTGCTGGCTACTGTTTAGTATTTTCCAAGAAATTCTTTAGAAGGATCACGATGCATTGCCAGCTAAGGATTTTTTAAGAGACTGGTGTGTGAGATCTTGTGAAGTGCAAATCCACAGACCACATCAATTGACTTTCCATTGTCTGCTTGCTTACTGACTCCTTAAAAAAAATTAATAATAAGTTTGTGAGATGTGACTTTTCTCTACAAAAGCTATGATTTGGTTCTCTCCCAACACATCGTATTTGTCTTTGGGTTCGCTGCTTCTGTTCTGTACAGGAATTTTTAGCAACCTGGCCAGCACAAACACCAGGTGCCCTGTGCATACCCTGCTGACTAGAGTGGTGGCATCGCATTAACCACCTTTAAGACTCTGAATTTGAGGCGATTTCATGGGCCAACTTGCACAGCACTATCAGTAGGTTGGACATTTCATCTTTTGTTTCCTTAAAACTCTTAAGTGCTGCATGTCCTGCCAACTCTCTACTCTTT